AAAAGGTGAACATGGATATAACAAAGTCACATTGTAAGAGGCAGCAAATAGTTTCATTAAAAGTCAAATGTTCTATTTTTTATAGAAATACTCATAATTAATAGTACAATAGCATTCACAAATCTGCATAATTTTTTAATGCTACCACACTCACTGTGCTAGGCTCTGAGGATACAGAGGCAAATGAAATAGACACGGTTCTTGCCTTCAAGGATTTACAATCAGAGACAAACAAACATGTAATTACAATGTGGTTATATGATTAAAGCGTTTTTAGATCAAAACTATGCAACAATCCCTTGGACTTCATTGACATTGTCACAAATGGGTTTTTTTCTTAAATTGGAAAAAAAAGCCACTGAATAGAAGGTTGAAAGTAATAATCTAGTCCAGAACCAGGAGTCTTGGTAATGAATTCATTGGTCTGTTGTTTGACCTGCGGAGATAGAGATCCCTGTAATTAACATAAGACTTGTCTCAAACACCTTAATTCTTCCAGCATGACATCCAGGGTTACTCCTGTAAGATAGTGGCCTAATTTCCACGTTTTCTAATTACTTTTTTTCAAGCATCTGTACTTGTCAATGCCTGGTACTGCATCCTTGGCATTCAGAATAGTCATTCCCATACAGGAATGTGGAAATATACTGAGGCTATACATAGAATTTAAATAGGGTTCATTTTATAAAAAAAGTAGGTGGCTAGCTACTTGTAGATTTGTAGGTTTCACTGAGGCTCCTTTTCTACCAATCTTGACATTTCTTACAGTGGGAAGGAAGCTGCTTCATTGAATTGTCAGAGATAAAGATTTACATACAAATGCAGGAGTCTTCATTCTTTGTCTTGATTTCATAGTTTTTGTTTAGGGACTTTTCCAAACAATTATATTTAACCAGAGGCCCGGTGCACGAAAATCGTACACTGGAGGGGCGTCCCTCAGCCCGGCCTTCTCCTTCTCCCACTCCGGGAGCCCTCAGGGGATGTCCTACTGATGGCTTAGGCCCGCTTCCCCGCGGGGAGAGGGCCTAAGCTGCAGTCTGGCCTCCCTCTGCGGGAGACGACCAGCTGATCAGGGGAAGGCACCGCCCCCATCACCCTCTCGCTGCTGCTGCCTCTGGCCTCCCTCTGTGGGAGGCGACCCTGTGATCAGGGGAAGGCGATGCCCCCATCACACCTCTGCTGCTGCCACTGCCAGCTTCAAGGCTGCCTGAGCCTTGGCCATCGCAGCCACTGCGACTTGCCTGAGCCTCGCCTGGCCCTCATTGCCTGAGCCTCGGGCCCTCAAAGCAGCACCAGCCATCAGCAGCTTGCTGGAACCCTGGGCCGGCCCTGGGCAAACGGCAGCGGCCATCGGCGGTTTGCCGGAGCCCTGGGCCAGCCCTGGGCAAGAGGCAGCAGCCATCAGGAGCACTCACAGCCACCGCCACCATGTGGAGAGTACAGGCCACCCTCCGCCAGGCGCCGCCTCCCCTGCCCCTGTCCCCAATGCTGCAAGTCCCCTCCCACCCGCACCTGCTGCGCTGCCTGCTGATTGGTCATTATGTGATGGTGTCCTGACCAATTTGCATATTACCCTATTATTAGTATAGATTACTTAAAACACCCATTCAATGCCTGCTATCCGTAA